CAATTGAGCCAAGCCAAACTATGATCTTCGATGCTGCCGGCTAACTGCACTTGGCCAATGCCAAAAAAAATACGAAAAAAAACAAAACTGGCAGCCGCTTAGCATTTAGCCGATCGTGGTCTTCATCGCTGCCGCTTTTTGTCTAACTACAATTACTTATTTAATCATAATTTCGTTCGCGTTTCAACAATCATCAATCATGGAAGCCGGCAGAGCTGCGCGACTGGGCCAACTGTCAGCCTGACAGATTGCCAACCAACCAACCAACCAGCCAACCAACCAACCAACCAGCCAGCCAGCCAGCCAGCAAGTTTGGCCCACAGATCCCGGGCCCGAAGTCTGAAATGCAGCTATGCGGTCTGCCCCAGCTGTTTAGTGCAAAAAAGTGGCATCAGCCGCAGAACGCCACAATCATCTAGTCAGCAGTCAGTCAGTCAGTCAATCGGGCTCGTTGAACTTGCCGTTTGCTGTTTGCCGTTTTGCCGTTTTGCTATTGCTATTGCTATTGCCATGGCTCTCTTGCAGCGATCGCGCAAATCAATCGATCACGTTTTGAGACCTGCACTTGCCGCAATCAACTCACTGGTACCCTGTAAGATACCCTATCCGCCATTTCAAGAGGAGAGGAAAAAGCTGAAAACTGAAGCGCAACCGCCGAGTGAACTTTCCAAACGGCCAGCACTCGCGAAAACGAAGCTCAAGCTGAAGTTGCAGCGGCAGATGGATTGATTGATTGCCTGAAACAGTTAGCAGACATTGTCTGGCCGGGCTTATTGCTATTTATGATCTTGATCTATGGATCGAGGGCAAAAGCACATGCGGCGCTGTCGAGCAGCCAGTGCACATGTTGATAATCAGCTCGCCGGTTGATAATGATGCCGTGGCTCAAACTCCAAACTCCAAACTCAAACTCAAAGTCTAGCTGGAAGCTGGCCTTGATTGCAGAGGCTTCTTACTGGCAAAAAAAAAAACTACTCCCCTCCTCCAACCTTCCGGCACTTACCGCCTCGTTCCTGATTGAAAACATTTTCGCCCAAATTGTTGCACAGAAATACCTTTAAGGGTATAGACTAACTCGTTGCGGGTTAAAGAGCTCTTGGTGTTAAGTGCACGATAATCGATTCGATTCGATTCGTTGCGAGCCCGCTTCGATGATGTTGGCGTTAAACGGCCAGAGCGCCAAATTGCCTATTTATGGCCGTTGCGGCTTTGGCAGGAAATCATACATTTGCATGTGCCGAATGGAAAGTATCTATTAGTTCGCACTCAAAAGTGAGATATACGCTATATAAAACTCATTGGGGACATTAAAAGGCATTGCATCACCACCAGGGGACTTAAAAAAACACTTTGAATTGTAACGCATGACAAGGGAGCACAAAAAAAAACTTAAATCGGCCCAAACTGGTTAACACATTTTGCCAGTTTTTTTTTGCAGCGTTTTAATTACTCTAACGCCCAAAAACAGACGGCGAACTCAAAAAGAATTCTGCCTTGGTTTTTTGTGTATATGTCGGCAATCGATGAAAAGTCAATAAAAATCGCCAGGCGAACGCACACGAGCCGAAGAGTTATCATTACGGCTGGGTATTGCATTTTGGCCAGAACAGCAACGAGTTTTTTTTACGAGATCATTTGAGATGCGGTTGCACCCAGTTTTAGCCGCATGCTAATTAGGCGCGTGTTGTCCAGGTGGCAACTGCAATTTGGCTGCGTTTAGCTCCCTGCCACCTTACAAGTCGAATGCGTGTCGTACTCGATTATGTTATCCAATTTCCAACTAATGGCGGCACTCACTTCCCCTTTCTAGGCGGCACTTTCAGGTTCCAATGGGGAGGCCATTAAACGATCAGAGGAAATGCCCGGCAAACACTTGCCATCGAACTTCAGCCATAATCCTCATTGCTCTTTATGGCCCCAAACAATGCGCTAATGATTTATTTAAAGCACATTAACATCGGTATCAATATCGGAATTCGGCATTCAGTATTCAGCATTCAGCAGTGGGCAGTCGGCACTCGGCAACCGAAAGGCGGCGGGAAAAGCGACCAAGATTGCCCACTGGGCTGACTGGGTGGGCGTCATCGTTGGGATTTTGGGGCCGCACCCCTTCTTCTTTTTATTTTGGTTTCTCTTACTTTTTTTTTTTTTTTGGTTTGGTTTCTGCGTGGCATTGGCAGTGACCCAGCACCAGCGAATCAGCGAGCCACCGCTGCTGCACCACTGCGTACTTCCCGTATCGCTGGCTGCGTATCTGCGCCGCGGGTGCAAAATGAAATCGACATTTAATGCGCTACCACACAATTGCGATCGGCGGGGGAGGGAGTGGTGGTTGCAGCGGTACAAGAGGTTGGAGCGGTCGAAGCGGTTGGTGGGGCAAGAGCGGCTGGAGCGGCCAGAGCGTTTCCGCTTGAGTTGCGGTTACCATGATATCGCATATTTCAATCAATTTGCTTATTATTGTCGTTGCTCTCGGGGCATTCCCGTTAGTATAATAGACCATAAAGGTGCGCTTGAGATCGACACACAAAACACAAGACGGTACAAAATAAAGAGAAGGAAACAGCAACAATTTCACCACAATATATAACCCAAGTCTGATCTGTGCTTTCTGTTTATACCCTTGAAGAAGGCATTTGGACATTGAACAAGTTAATGAAGTGTCCATTTGCTGTTACACTTGCAGCTTAATATCCGGTCATTTTCACTTCTGTAATATTGTGGCACTTATTTCTTAACCATTCCCTCATTTGATTTATTGAATAGATAGGTACTGGTAAATTGTATATAAATTGATTCATATTAAAGAACCGTTTCTACCTTTTAGGCTTTGGTTAGCACATGAGTAGAAGTGTACTTGATTCGTCGGTTGCCTTGGAATTCCTCCTGTTTCACCAATTTCTTTTTGTTTTTTTTTTTGTTTTTTGGGTTGTGTCTGAAGCGTGAGATGCGACCACATGCAAATTCGCCCAGCACGATGTCCCTGACAGACACTTGTCAACGAATTTCTTTTTGTTTCGCTGCTGCCATTTTGTTCTCGACAAAACTATGCAAATATATGTCAGGCAGATGGAGATGACGATGGCGATGACGATGAGGATGTGGATGAGGATGGGGATGCCATGCCAAAGGCGATGTCAACTGAGCGACAACAACAAATGAAGATCAGCGCGGGCTTATTTATTTTATTTTTATGTACACTTGCGAATACATCGGAGAGGTTCCTGTGTGCCCGCCCCCTTGCAAGTGCAACTGCAATTGCTGCCGCAGCATCAGGCATCATGAGGCATTCAGTTAAGCACTCTTGGCCCGGCTGGCACAAGGCACTTGGCCGGGGAAACTGCAACTCCGGCTTAGCTGGCTTGGCAAACACATTTTTCGCGCCCCAAAAGTGTTGGAGGCGTTTTGTTGTCCACTTAGAGACATGGGGCCGTCCGTCTGCCGCTGGTTGCTGTATACTGTATGCTGTTTGGTGGATGCTGCAGTTGCAGTTGCAGAATAAGAGGAGGAAAAAATAAAAAGCCAAACTTGCAGCAGCAGCAGCCACTAAGCGTCTTGGGCACACGTCAGTCTGTCGCTTCCGTCGGCCTCTCTCCTCGCCTTTTATTGCCTTTTGTTGCCTTTTGGCGCCTTGCGGTTGGTCGTTGTTGATTGTGGCATTTTGATTGATTTCTTTTGACTTTTGGCAGCCGCAAATATTTGGTAATCCTGCCAGCGAACAAGCGGCTTCATCAGCACTTTAAATGCATATTTTGGCACCTCGGAATCGGCATTTTCCTGGCATTTTAATGCCAGCTACTTTCTAAGCAGCCAAACAGAATTAGTTGACATCCATACCACTGTGCACATTTTTTTTTCTTCGGTTTGCCATCCATTGACCATAAACTTGATTTCTGCGCACATTCGGCGACAATTTGTCAGAAATTCTGGCACTTATTCAATCCGTTTTCAGCGGTCCGAGTATTAAGGTCAACGTCAGTGCTTAATTGAACACCTGGACAGTCGAAACCACTGCGGCAATGGTGGGTCAGCAGGTCTGCCAGGTGACTCATAAGACGGATCCAAGGCAAAGGCAGAATGATTTCCATTTCTGCCAGAGCATTTCAAAATAAATCGGGTGGGAGCCAAAAAATGACACGAATAAACGAGTGCTAACCTCTCCTAGAATTACATTCATAATAAACTTCCCCATGACTATCCCAAAAAATACAACAACAAATAAATTGAAAAAAAATGTGGGTACTTGTTACTCTCAATGTTTACTTCAAAAATATTGTGGTAATCCTCATTTGTAATTGAGATGTGCAATATTGCAACACATCATTGACAGCAGTCGAAATGAAGCGAAAATGCATCTTCAGCTGTCAAAAATTACCAAAAGCCGCTTGTTGTTGCCAATGTTGCAGGTGTTGGTTGGCTTCTTTGGGTAAATAGTGCAAAATCGTGAAATCAAATTTGTTCACGTTGTTGGCAGTCGATGTCTATTATTCGCTTTATGTTAATCAAAACGGGCCAGCAACTCAGACTCAGTCAGATTTTGCGTTGTCCTAACAAAATAGAAAAAAAAAACCAACGTCTAATTCCCGCTCCCCCAACTACACGTAAAAAAATGGATGTGTTTAAGCTAACAATTATATTTTCTACGACTTTAACAAGTATTTTAGACACAGGAAAATATAATGTGATTAATAAACTTTTTTTAAGTTAAATGTTCAGCAAATTGTTCTTTTTTTTTTAAACAAAATGTTCAATGAAATAAGGTCTCTACTTTCTTACACGTGTAATCCAACTCTGTGGCAGTAGGCCACAAATTGTTGTTTTTAGACTGCTTCTTTGGTGTTGGGGCTTTACATAATTTGGTGGATCTGTTGTGGTTGGCTTGTCTCCCTCATTTCGCACTCGGAGTCTTATTTCGTGGCTCCGGTCGTGTCTCTGCGGTGTCTTCCTGGTGAGCAATTTGCATTTGTTTTATTTGCCGGGGAAAATGACAAAGCCAAGCACTACAAGCTATTGAGAAATACGTTTGTGTAGAACAGAAGCAGTTCGATGGTGAATACGGCGATTGAAGAGCTCAGACCGATTGCGAGGATTCCCCAGTAAGTTCCGAGATCCTCTGGGCTCAGAGCATCCATTGGAATAGTCTGGCTGTAGTCCTTTAGGATCATGCGGCCTGCTTTCACCATATCGTAGTAGCTGTGGGTCATCCAATAGTGTATCAATCCAGCCTGATGCAACATGAGAGTGTAGCGATGGAAGGAACCTCGGTAGATGGACTCCGGGGCAATTATTATGCTGCAGGGAGAATCCCAATCGAAACACATGGTATCCGAGTACCGGAAAATAGGATGCGAAAAGTGTTTTTGCTGTGCCTCGATAACCGTCCACTTCACAGAGGTGATGGTATATGCCCAACTGGTGTTGAAGTAGTTCCTGAGGTCCATAAGCTCGTTGACGTTGTCCGTCAAATGAAAAGCAGAAGCATATTTGGCCCGGAAAGCTCCGTCCAGAAAATAGAACTCCCTGGTCATTCCGAATATCTTCAATCCCGATGCAAGCAAATCATCAAAAGTTTCGATTTTCGAGTGCAAAGGTGGTTTTATCAGCAGGGAAAGAAGTTGAGCAGAGGTGGCGCAGACCATCACCAAAGCAATGACTCTCGATGCCAAGCGAAATAGTCTTCCGCGACAAGTAATCCTTAAATATCTCCTAATCCTGGGAACCGCCAAATAGCAAAATAAAGAAGCCAGAATAAGTAGATAGAATAATCCAGGAGTCAGAACCCGCTTGAACAATGTGTCGACACTCAAGGGTTTCTCCATGGGCAACATGGCGCACCAGTTGGAATGAAATAAAGGGTAAGTGCTATCGAGAAACCTCTCCTCAAACTTATACACAATCATGGTTGAGGTCAGGCCGAAGTCCGAGCTACCGTTCCGTGTAAATTCCATCATATATTCCGAGGAGGAAAGCTTGTTTTTTTCCCATGAGGGGTACAGAATGTGGATGCCGGCTCCCAAACTTTTGGCATAACTGTCGAAAATCCTCCACATAAATCCTCCGAATTGGATTTTACCGAGTTTATCTCGGTAAATAAAGGAGTTCGGTGGCGACAAATCCGGTTGAACGCGAATTTGGTAACCTCGAAGATCCGCCAATTGGTTGGTGAAAATGCTTGGCAAGGACTCATTAGAAAGAGTCTGCCTTACGAGCGTGAAGTAGGGAAAAGCCAGGTAACTAAAGATAGTAATTGGACTATTCCAATACTGAAAGTATAGCGCCACATTTAGCATATCGTGTTGCCAGCAAAGCGAAAGTATTTGCGAAGCCAGGAAAGAGCTTTCCTTTTCCTGCATCTCGATGAGAACTCTTACCGATCTCAATCGGGTCAAACTGGTGGCCAGAAGTTTAAGCTCATTGTCGAAGTTCCTTGAAAAACATGCCATTACAAAAACATTGCCGCTGTGCCGTCTATAAAACTCCGAGTATTTTTCTTCGCGGTTCCATAATATCTGAGGATGTTGAGATAGAAATTCGCTTTGTAGTACTTCCCAACTGCAATTAAAGCCAGTGGGATTAAAATAAAACACTGTATTATCCGTGGGCACCAAAAACTGTTGGATAAATTCAAAAAAGTTAACCAACTCAAGAGCTGGACTAAAGCTCAAGTTGGACAACATGACTAACGCGGAAACCAAATAAGACTGAAGGACACTACTCCAAACTGGATTGCCCGTTAGTGTTAGCTTTGGAAATCAAACGCTTATCACACGTAATTATCCAGGGACAATTGCGAGGCGGGAATTAAAAGTTTGCTCCGTGGATAATCGATGTTACTGCACAATGTAACCGAAAGAGTTCAAGGCGAGCTCCCAGTTTGTTAAAGTTACGACTGCTCGTATCTGGAAATGTCTCTGCAGCCATGTAAAATCCATAAATTCCTGACCTTTCAACTTGTGGGCAAGGCAACCGCAACGCAGGCGAAAAACAAAACAAAATGCAGCGCAAAAAAAAAACAAAAAAAAACCCAGAGAGAAAATACGACAAGCCGAACCCAGAGGGCCAGCTGCAGCTGTAGAATTTTTAAGCCGAAATATTTTTTGATTGTCTTACTAAAGGGCATTTTAGTTTTAGGGAAAGGTATCTCAAGAAATTCAAGTAATTAAATATAAAATGCAATTAAGTTTCTTTTCAATTTTTAATTTATTTATTTGCGACTTTTTCTGGGTACTTACAATGTTGTTTAAATATTTTTTCTTTTGTCAGCTAATCAAAAAGGGTTTATTAACTTCGGTGCTGGTAATCGCAGCTCCCGACTTGTTTTGGCTGCCATTCAAAGTTCAGGCGGCGTCTCTTTGGCCGGCCAAGAGGCTTTATGGCCGAGGCTGACTTAAGCCTGATCCTTCTTGGCAGCTGACAACACCCTCGCATCCGTCTTGCGGAGAAAGTTTTGCGGTCTGCGCATTTCTGAATGCACACGCGTGTTTTCTACTCCGCTGACCTTCGCCGGAGCAGATCGTTTAATAATTTGCAGCAAATCGCGAATCGCGAGCCGACTGTTGGCCACGACTGGAAATTGTCTCACATGTCGTGAGGGTCTTGGCCCGCTCGATCAGCGGTTTCGGCTTGATTTTCCCGCCGATCACGGCCACATAATTCATTTTCCGGGCTTCGTGTTTGGGGAAATTTGTCAACCAAATCGTGGCGCTTCTTGTGTGTCATAAATCGCTCTCATCGTGCCAATTGTCTTAACCCAAAAACCAAAACCAAACATAAGTTTCTTCTAAGACCGAAAAATTCTAAAAGGTTAGCAGGGCATATTCCTTTAGAAGACTGGATTCATTTGCCTAACTAGACGTCATTTGAAATTGAGATATGCATGTTGCAACACATCATTGACAGCCGTGGAAACGAAGCGAAAATGCATCTTCAGCTGTCAAAAATTACCAAAAGCCGCTTGTTGTTGCCAATGTTGCCAATGTTGCCAATGTTGCAGGTGTCGGTTTGGTTTCTTTGGCTAAATAGTGCAAAATCGTGAAATCAAATTTGTACACGTTGCTGGCAGTCGATGTCTATTATTCGCTTTATGTTAATCAAAACGGGCAAGCAACTCAGACTTTGGCTGGATTTTGCGTTGTCCTACCAAACTGAAAACTGAAAAGAAACAGACATCTAACACAGACAACTCCGACACTAGGCCACAATTTGCTGGTGTGTTTGCTGCCAAGGTTTTTACATAATTTGGTGGATCCACTGCGGTTGTCTGATGGCTCGGTGGCTTGGTGGCTCAGTGGCTCAGTGGTTCGGTGGTTCGGCGGTTCATCTCCCCCTCGATTGGGGTCTCATTTCGTGGTGCCCGTCGTGTCGCTGCGGTGACTTCGTAGGAGGCAATTTGCATTTATTTCATTTGCCCTCGCAGCTCGAAGGTGTAAGACGGTAGGAAACCATTCAACAGCATTGTTAACTACTGTCTCCTACCCAAAATCGGGAACTCCAGCTAAGAAAACCCTTGTCACCGTCACGAAGTAAAACACAAAGTTTTCATTTGTTTTTTTATCCTGGCGTGTCTCTATTATTTTCTGAGTGGCTTGGTTTACCGGAACCGGGTGGACTTATCGAACGCCATCGGCATAATTGCCGCTCGAACAATTAAAAGCCCAGCCAATAGTTCACCCAACTGACAGCCAGCTCGAAGGCAAACAGAAACAAGCTAATTAGCATTCCGGAAGCAAAAAGAACAAAGACGTGTCTTAGATCCGTACAGTTAAGGGTGTGCGCTTGATAAGGATCTCTGAATCCGGAGAAGTGGATTTTACCCGCTTTAACCATATAAGAAAAACCTCTAGAAACCCACAAATCATGCAAGCCAGACTGAGAAAGTAGCAATATGAACCTATGAAGATGAGTTCGATGGGGGAGTTTTCCGGAATGACCAAGCCAAAGAGAGCCATCTCGAAGAAACAGAGATCCTTGGAATACCGAAATAGAGGCCTCGCACTCCGCTTTTGCTGCTCCTCATAGATTTTCCACTTCGCACTGGTCACTGTATAACCAAATGAGGTATTCAGCGCATTTCGCATTCCTATCAATTCCGCAGTCGATAAAGTCAACCTGAATGCTGCGGAGTACTTTGTGCGCTGGGTGAACTCAATTGAGTTGTATTCCGATCGAATGGAGATAATGCGTACTGGAGAATCGATTAGTGCTGCCAGACTGTCGATTGGGGGCAAAGATGGAGGATCAGTAAAGAGGTACAGCAGTTTTCCCAGGTAATTAGCAGTGACCAGAGTGGTCAACACCAGCCAACCAATCCTCTGAAGCCTAAGATGCATTCGCCAACGTCCACGGAGCAGTTCGTAACAAATCCAGAGAAAAATCAGAAGAATAATGGTTGGATAGGGCAACACCCGCGTCAGCAACTCGGAAACATCCAACTGCCTCTCCACTGGCAGCATGGTGCACCAACTGGCTTGACTCAACGGATAGGATACAGAGTGATAGCGATCCAGGAAAGCCATCGACATTGGCTGAATGCTGGCAGCCACATCTATAATGCCGTTTTCAGCCACATCCAGCAGCTCTATGAAGTTGAGGGGTCGATCATCCGTATATTTATTCACCACTTGAAGTTTTGCATTGAGCTTGTGGGCATAGTTTTCCATTAGATCCCAAACATATCCCAGGATCTGTTTGTTCCCCTCATTGTCCTGGTATAGAATAGTATTTGGCTCAGAGTAGTCCGGCATTGTACGAATCCAACCTTCACGAAGATCCAACATCTTATTGGGATAGAGATCACTAACTTGAGTGAGGTCTGTAAAAGTGTAATTCACCATTTCGAACTGGGGGAAGGCCTCAAATCTGCTCACAATTTGAGTCTCCTCAAAATCGGGAAAAATAGCATTGACATTAATCATTTCTTGACTTAGAGAAAACTGCAGAACTTGGTCCACTAAATATTCATCCCTGTCATCCATGAGTTCGATGAGAACTCTGGCCTGTCTAAGGTATTTTAAACTCCTTGACAGACTTCCCAGAAAAGGTCTCCAATGAAATCCAGGAATGCAGGCCAAAACTAAAAGTCCTTCACCAAGAAATCCATTTAGGATCACAGCTTTGCCGGATCGCCAAATCACCAATGGGAGGTTCCAAGTGGTGGAAAATAGTGTTTCCTCCAATTGGCATTTTTCTTCCGCAGGAGCGTAGAAAAAAATGCTGGTTAACTCTTGACCATGGCTTATTAGCGAAATTAGCTTGGTGGTAAAAGTACTTCCGGTTGAAACCATCTCGAAATACTGACTTGCTTCTGAGGATGGTTCTATATAATATTAGCTACTCTATTTGCTTAATCGAAGGTTTGCTTATGAAGTTTACTTAAACTTAAGTTAATTATAACGTATAGTTCGATGGATACCCATTAGTGAATATTATTATATTTATTATATTTTTATACGTATCTAAGGTACACTTTTTAAATAAATAACTAGCCAATGGATGCCCCAAGATAAATATTTTTATTGCTTGTTAAAATAGAAATCAACCCTTGCTGCTCATAATGCTTTATTATATGTTAAGCACTCACTCTCCTTATAAGTTGTCTAGGCAAACATTTACATAGTAAATAGTAAGTTCCATGGCAAAGACAGCCAATGAAAACAGAAGTACTGCCCCATATAAGTACATAACGAACTTCCATTCGGACATTCGAATCGGTTGCGCCTCGTGGTATTTGCTGAAGTCGCCGAATCGAAATCGTCCTGTCTGCACCATAAGGTAGTAAGCTCTTCGGTACCACAGGGAAATTAGTCCTGCCTCGTGCAAACGTATGATGAACCTCTTTAATTGGTAGCGATGTACGCAGTTTCTTTGATGGATCAACGAAAAGAGCGACAGCTTCTGGACGCAAATGTCCTCCGAGTAGTAAAACAAAGGACGCCTAAAACGCCGTTGTGCCTCCTCGTAAAACTGCCACTTCACAGAGGTCACAGTGTATCCGTAAGATATATTAAAATTATTCCGGTAATAAGCCAAATCAAAAAAGATATCATGTAGCAGAAAAGAGGATTCATATCTACTCCTCATGTCGATGGGGTATTCCATATACTCCTGTCGCATTCCTCTGATTTTGAGACCTGCTTCCTCAACTTCCTGCATGCTGTTCATATGAATTAACATCTGAGGAGCAATGAAATAAGCCAAAAGTTGGGCTTGCAGGAAGCAAAGAAGTGCTAGATGAACCAATGGTTTAATTATTTGAATAAGTGGACCTCTATACTGATTTCTACGATTAAAAAAACGGTGCAGTAAGTAGAGGATCAGCAAGAAGAGCCAAATCCAAGGTGAATCCACCATTCCGATCAGTGCGTCTCGACTACTTAGAATCCTCTCAGTTGGTAGCATCACACACCAGTTTCCCACTATCATTGGATAGCTATAAAAAAGTACATTGCTGCCGTGCAAATTTCTAAGGGGCCTTACACTGGCCGCTATATCCACAGTATTGTTCCTGACCAAATCGATAACCTGGGTGTAACTGAGGGTCTTTTCGAAAACGGGTTCTCCTGCCAACTGAAGACTTCCATTTATATGTTTAGCGAATTCAATCATAAATTGCCATACTGGTCCATCGATTTTATAGGAACCATTCAATCCCTTTTGCACAATTGTATGGGGTTCAGAATTGTCTGGCAAAGTGAGTATGGGATGTCCTCGTAGATCGTTCAACTTGTTTGGAAAAAGGGTAAGATATGCATGATAAACTAGTTTTGAAACTCGAAGTTCCGGAAACAGTTCGTAGGAATAAAATATTCCAGTGGTAAAAAAGTTCCACGAAAGCAGCAAAACATTGGGCATCTTTAGCTCCTGACTGAGTTTCACTATTTTCCAGATTGTATTCAGGTCTTCTGCTCCACAAAGCTGTAATACCACCGGAATGCTACGCATCTGTTCCAGCATTAAACTCAAGGCATGCAACATCTCTTTGTATTGGTAAAGCTTCATACAAGCCACCGCCAGTAAGTTTTTGTCTTGTAGGTATGCTTGATAATGTGGATATGTTTTATCATCCCAAAGTAAACTCGTTGAATTATCAGTTCTCAAAACCTCTTCAAACCAGCAATCACAGGAGTCCAAGCGATAGTAGAGCAGTGTCCTGAACCGTATCTCCATCTGCAGGTGATTCCAGAACCTCTCAAGAACCTCAACTCGAGGCCAATAAGAATTGTAATCCAACTGCACTTGTTGCCACATGCCAGAGTTTTGAACTAGTGTCCCATTGAAGGGTTGGTCCGCAGCTTTTATGACCCAGCCTACCATTGTTCTGTGCGATTTGAAGGTGTCAGCGTTTTTAAGGGCTGACTTGCAGAACCCCTTCGGCCACTCGCTTCAAACGCCAGTGCAGTGGAGTTTTTGGAATACAATGCAATACAACGAATGCAAAGGAGCTCGCGCCAACGCTCAAAAGCAAAAGTTGCGACGCACAAAATTGTGGCTTTTCTGACCTGTCGCCAGAGTGACCCAAATAAACAAGAGACAATGTTGCAGAGGAGGGATATTCGAACTGGAGATACCCTCTTCCCATTCTAAAATTAAATTAAAATTTGTTGGATAGAATAAGGGTTTTAATAAAGGATCAATTCACAGATTAAAATTAACATAGGTAAGTATGAGTTATAGGGCTATATCCTATTTATTTTGTTTATTTTTATAGCTTTTATTTTTTATAGATTTATATATAGATCTTTATACATCATGTTCCACCCGACATACCTCACTTCCTTGACTTCTGGTGAGTAGAAAGACAATTGCTGGCGAGTCGAACAAGAAACCAGCGTGTTGACAATGGTCAAAAGACCGGGCCAAATGTGAAGATGCAGCTGGGGATCTTCGAACCCGCTAACCCGCGACCCCTCACCCGACCCCCGACTGGCATGCCGGCCAAATGAATTGTTGTCTTCTTGGCCACTTCAGGGTACCAATACTCGGTTCCACGAGCACACCCACTGCATGTTGCAGGTTGCAGTTTGCAGGTTGCCGCTTGCTGGTTGCTGGTTGCAAGTTGGTGGTGGCAGGTTGCAGGCTCTTGGACTCTGGCTCCGCACAAGACTGGCAGCCATGTCCATGTCATCATCATCATCATCATCTTCCCATGCACAGCGGCATTTTGGTGCTTTGGCTTTCGATGGTGTCGTCGTGGTCGTGGCACTTGTTTTATCGTCATTTTACAGGCATTTTTCATAAATTACAGTTTATTGTTGTTTGATAAACGGTCAGCGGTGGGCGCTACTTGTATTTTGTGACCAGCAGCGACACGCAAATAAACCCAAAGCAGATATTACAGCGATTTTATTGTATTAACAACGTTGTCGCATCATCATCGTCGTTGGCGTTTGCCGTTCGTGTTTGTTTGTCTGCCTTGATAAGTTAAGCGTTGACATCTTTATGCACCTGTGTGGGCACCAAAACGAGGCATATTCCCGCCGCAATCAAGAAGTCATGTGAAATGCCAAATAAAAGCCGAGCTTTACGGCCGAAATTAATGGCTTTCCCGTGGAGCCTGAGAACTTTTTCGATTGAAAACCGCACCCTTAAGTGCGGCACTGAAACGAAATTATTTTGCGCCCATATTTCAGTGGCGCTTAGAGAACCCAACGAATATGAGCCGTAACTCACCCACTTATGATTTACGATCCGAGAGTCGAGGCCCCCGAGGCTTTGTGGGCATTTTGGCGCGCAAATTACCAATGCAAATATGCATCCGCAGAGTGTCTATTGAGTGGGGCAGAAGTGCGGTGGCGCGGCGAGATTTGCATAATTTTATGGCCACAAATTCCACTTAAACAACTTAATTAGATTTCAAAGAGCAGCCAGCAAAAGGCTGATTTGAAGGCACTTAAATAAATAAACAAAATTCGAAAATGGAGAATGGATGGCTTGTCCCTTTGGGGCAGCCGTTTTTTTATTTATGAGAGTGGCCAGCGCCATTTTGGCCAAGTCGATTACCGAGCGAGTGCAGTGGCTGGGACTTATCTCCCACTGCGGTACAACACCGACCAACTAAATGGCCACAAACTGGATATGGATCTGGAACCCGGACCCACTTGGCCTGGCACTTGGATGGCTGGCTGGCCCCCCGATCGATTGGCTCGATCTAATGGCAGCTAATCTAGTTAACAGTTTTTCAATTATAGACGATTTGGTGCAGCTGATAATAAATGCGATAAAACATATTTCAGGCCAACGACGCCAATTGGCCAGATTACATCAGAGATTGCCGGGCCGCGTTTGGGCGTAGTTCGGCTGCAATTGTCAAAACCATTTGGCCCGTTTGGGCCGGGCTCATTTGTTGGCCATATTGTTAGCTGGCTGCGGGCGCTAATTGATTTGCCAGCTTGTACGCGCCAAATGTGGATCATTAAAAACTTAATTAGCGGCCGGCATTCATTAGGGCTCGGACCGCCCTTCGACTCGATCGCCCTTTAATTACACATTCTGATCGGTCCGATCCAATCTGATTTGATCCGATCCGTTGGCCAATTCAATTCGGTAAGTCTATGAATCTAGTAACCAAAACTGCGTATTGAGAAATCCGTATTGAAGTGATGCCCCGGGGTCAAGCAAAGCAATCTTTTTTTTTCCCATTTTGGCAACAAATAAAATTAATGAGCGCAGAGCTGGCTGCACCGCTAACCCAGTTCAAGTGGCTGGCCAAATGTCAGTTGGGCATTTTCTGATAAATGTGCCACATGGCAACGAAACTGGGCAGCAAACGAAAACGAAAATGAAAATGTTGCAAATGCAGGGCGAGCAGGAGCCCCTCCCGAAAAGGTTGTTCGCCCGTCACAGTCACATCATAATGATGCCCTCGATCCGCCTCGGATCAGCTCCAGGGTTAGATCCGTCCTCTGTCCTCCATCCTTCATCCTCCAAGTCGTGCGCCGTCAACGAGGAATATGTCAGGGTCTGGGGCCAATTCAATCCAGCCGTGTCCATTCCGTTCCGACCAAATCTGATCCGGCTCGAAGTGTGCCTGTTTAGTAAACACTACGCTGGCCAGCGGAACAAAGTCGCCCTCAGACAAGAAGTCAAAATGTTAAAAATGTGTTGCAGCTCTTGGTGTTTGTACGCTTTCCAAAGGGTTCAAAAAGTTAATCTATTTCAAAACTTTCTTTTTATTTATAAATTTATAACGCAAATATTAAAAACGCACAATCCTTCAACCCCCTTTAAAAAGTCTTACATATTTAATGTATTCATTTAAACCCAAGAGATTTATCCATACATACACTTATGAAGTTAAGGGAATCTCAAAAAGTCTTTGCACTGACTTCTCGACTTTTTAATCTTATTTGTAGAATATGAATTAATTACTGTTTTTTCCTATATAAATTTATTTTATTTAATTAACTATCATATGTAAGAGCACCTCGAATTCCCCAAAAGCTGGATAGTTTCTCCCATTTGTGTGATCTCTCCTTGACGTTCTGTCGGCGTGACAGCTTTGGGCCACAAAAAATTGCCAACTAATGTCGAAAAATCGACCTGGCCAAATCAAAAAAAAAAAAAAAAAAATCACAAAAAAAAACGAAACTTGCATATGACCAAATTTTGAGTGCTGGCGGCGCTTCTGCTGCAGCGGATTTCAAAACGAATCTCAGAACTCGCCATCGATCGATCGCCCCGCAATCTATTGTTGGTAACGTTGCCGGGTTGGCCTGGCAGTCAATAAAATTATAAATGGCACTTATTAGACCGAACTATTTCTTGGCACCGCTTCGCTTCGCCGGGTCGCCGGAGCTGCAGTTGATGTATGTAAATATAATGAAGCGAATATCGGGCTAATTAAAATAAATTCAGGGCGTGGCGAGCTCTCATGCCGTTCGCAATTAAAATAATTGCCTAGCCGTCGACGGCTGACTGGAGTTGCATAAGTCTAACTCGGCTGCCTCTTGGTTATTTGTGGTGGCTATTGTTGGATGCGGAACTGCGGCTCCCAGCCAAAGGAAACGGAATATGAGCCACTGATCCAGTTTGAATCCGGGAACGATACACACAAATTACAGCACTTTTCGTTTGAAATCGCCTAATGTCTTGTGGCAATTTAACAAATTCGTATAAAACAAATGAGCTCAAATGGAGGTGAAGAAATTTTGAAATTTTTATGTATTGACCCATTATGTCTTGATTTATCGCTGGAGAGTGTAAACGTGCCTTTCGAGCTCGGCCATAATTCGGCTTAATCGCTTTATGATGAATCTTAGACATAATATTTTCAACCTTAAACTCAGTATAAAAGCGTTCATAAAAGCACCAATAAAATGTTTATTTTGACATAAACATACAAAATCAGAGCACCATTTGATGATTATTACTGTTCGACAAAAACTTGATCTTTTTCTTATAACTTGAACTCGTAAAATGCTAATTTGAACAAACTTATATTTGTTCCGGTAAATTTGATATTCTTTTTTTTGCAGCTAAAAGCTTTGCTAACTTTCGTTCACCTTTTTATGAGCCAGACTTGTGAAATTAAATTTATTTTGAATTTTAATTATTCTAAGTCTTATTCTCCTTCTGATATTAAGAAACATTTTTTGATGAGTGGAAGTACCATGATGAGTAGTGTTCCTAACAGGTGCTGAAATCTATCTGCCATGGATATGATTCGTGTTGGCAGTGCTCGGCTTTTCACTCGTCGCCCGTTTAAACAACAAAACCAGGAAGTCTATGACAATTATAAATCATCTTCGCCTTGCGTTTTGCAGCTGTCATGATGAGCACTTCACTTGCCAGCTCGTCGGCAACAGTTGCTCATTACACCAGCAACATCAAGAGCAGCAGCAGCAGCAACACCAACAACTGCAACAGCCCCCACACCGGCAGCAAATGGGTGCAAGTCAAGTGCTGAGGCAAACAGGGCGTCTAGCCGTTTTTCCTTGGATCCCCCTCAGCCTTTTTAGCCGCTTTTGTTTGCTCTTCCGACTGACGCAGCTAACTGGATTCCGTTTGTGGCTTAGATAACATTTGGCAAGCGGCAAGTTGATGTCAAATTTCTGGACATGCAGCGAAAGGTTCTTAAATTAGAAAAGCGTGTGCTGGCCATTCCTGTGACTTCCCCTTTCCGTTGCGGTTGGCCAAAGTATTTTCACATGTTCACTGACTTGGCCGCAACTCGGTTTCTGGCTCTGGGTCGTCGTGTCGAGCTTTTGCTGTTGCTATTGCTATTGCTGTTGCTGTTGCTGTTGCTGTTA